CTCAACAGTTGAAAGCACTGACTGCTCTTGAAGAGGACTCCGGTTCAATTACTAGCACCCACATGGCAGCTAAAAACCATCCTTAACTCCATTCCAAGGGATCCAAAACCCTCTTCTGACCTCTGTGGGCATTGCACAGCATGGATACACTTACCCACGTGCAGGCAATACACTCAAACACATAAAATAAATACAATTTTTACAGGGCTGGAAAAATGGCTCAGTGGTTAAGAGCACTGGCTACTCTTGCAGAAGAGTGGGGTCAATTACCAGCACCCACATGGTGACTAACAACCATTCATAAGTCCAGTTCCAGGTGAATTTGACTCCTGTCCTCCGTGGGCATTGCACGACACAGGTGCACTCACATACATGTAGGCAATACACTCATACATAAAATAAAAAATAAAATCTTAAAAAATACAAATTTTTAAAATAATTTGAGAATTTCATAATGCATATAAGATGTTTTGATCAAATCCATGCCCACTCCCTCCCCTCCAACTCCTCCCATATCTCCCCATCACTTTTTTCTGATAATTTCATGTACTCTTTCTTCTTCTTTGATTTATTTATAAAAAATAAATATAATATTTAAAATGTTTTACTGAGTTTTCACTTCTAACCATGCATAGATGTTGGATTTTTCATGTTTTTCTGAATCTACTAGGATAATCTCCACTTTAGCTATATCATGTGAATTCAAATATTTGTTCCCATTTTCACTTTTTTTTGTTGTTCTGAAATAAAATGGTTTTGTATTATCATCAGAGATACTGGGTTACATAAGGCTATTTTTATGCAAATACATAAATGTACTTTGAGCATGTCCCTCCCATACTCCCCTATGGTCCCCTTTCTCACTACCTTTTCATTTAAGTCTAATATTTGTTCTATTAGACTTAATATTTTCTATTCTTCCTCATGAATTCCTTTTTGAGCCTTTTACAAGTATGGCTTGATTTCCAAATATGGGCAAATTTCCAAGATACCTTTTTGTTGTTAACTTCTAGTTTATTTCTGTTATGATCAAAGAACACTTTAAAAAGATTTTTATATGCATGGATGTTTGCCTTTTCATGTATAAAATGTTTCACATGTGTGCCTGGTGGCCTCAGAGGCCAGGGAAGGGCAGGAATCCCCTGGAACTGGAGTCACAGATGCTTATGAGCTGACATACGGGTGCTGGGACCTGAATTCTTCAAGAGCTGCAAGTTCTCTTAGCTGCTTAGCCATCTCTCCAGTTCCCAGAGAGCATGTTTTTGTGGTCTAAAATGTTAGGTTTATTAAGGTTTTGGGGGGGTTATTTGAGACAGGGTCTCCCTATTGCCCCAGCTGGCTATATAGTGGAACTCATTATAAAGGCCAGACTGGTCTCTCCACAGAGATCCTCCTGCCTCTGCCTCCCAAGTGCTGGGATTAAAGACATACACCACCATGCCTGGCAATATTAAAGGGTTTTTTAGTCACAGAAAATGTTGCCTACCTACATACTTGAAGAATGAGCATTCTATTATTTTGAGGCAAAATATTCTATAATGTCAGTTAGGTCGAGCTAATTTATGTCCTTCAGGTCTTCTGTATCCATACAGATATTCTGTCTTCTGCCCCTTCCAGTTACAAAGAGAGAAGTATTATAGGTTTTTACTTGTATCCATTCAGCACTGTCCATTTGTGCTTCCTATGTTTGAAAAAACAATGATCACTTGGGACTATTGTGTCTTGATAAGTTGACATTTTTATCATGTATGCCTTTCTTTATTCCTGCTTTCTTTGTTCTGTCTGTCAGATATTAATATTTCTGTTAGCCTTTTTATTGATGGCATGGGATAGCTTTTCCATCCTTTGGAGAGTTGTTTTGTTTCGTTTTGAAGGCAGGCTCTAATGCAGTTCAGGTTGGCTGGGAACTCACTATGCAGGTGAAGTTGGCCTTGAACTCCCCATCTTCTTGCCTCTGCCTCTTGAATGCTGGAATTACAGAAGTGTGACACCACACCTGGCCTCTGTTCTTTACATTTTAACCTATCTCTGTCTTTATAAAGTGGGCTTCTTACAGACAGAATATAGTTAGATGATATTGTTAAATCCAATCTGTCAATCCCCATCTTTTAGTTGTTATATTTAGACCATTTTCATTTAATATAGTTAATGATGTGATTGGTTTTAGGTCTACTGCTTTTATTTTTTCCTTTCTCCCATTTATTTTTTCTTTTGTTTCAAATTTCCAGACTTCTTTTAGAATTTTTTTTTTTGTCTTTTGAGACAGGGTCTTCCTGTAGCCCCAGCTGGCCTGGAACTCCCTATGTAGACCAAGCTGGCCTTGAACTCACAGAGATCCACTTGCTCTGCCTCTGAAGTGCTGGCATTAAAGGTGTGTACCACCTGGCTGGAATATTTGAAAAAATTTTAATTTTTTTTTTACTTTCTAGTTTTGGTTCTATTTTCAGTTGTTGCTTCAGGGATCATAACATACATCCATAACTTTCCTCAGTCTACATAGGCTAATATTTCACCATTTTAAGTATTATATGTACATATATACTATGTATATATATACACACATATACTATGTATATACACACATATACTATGTATATATATACACATATATACTATGTATATGTATGTACATATATACTATGTATATATATACTATGTGTATATATATACATATATATACTATGTTTTAAATTTATTACATTTACTTGTGTTTGTACATATGTGTATATGGGGGAGCAAGTGTGCCACAGCACACTGGTGGTGATCAGGAGTTGGTTCTCTCCTTCCACCACGTGGAATCTGCTGATCAAACTCAGGTCATCAGGCTTGGTGGCAAACACCTTTACTTACTGAGCTATCTTGCTGGCCCTCAAATATAATATTAAAAAACTTAAGAACAAATATGTTTCATTATCTTTTCTCACTGACCTTACATTATAGATGTCTTTTGTATTTCAACTATTTATCAATGCTGATAAACCCATCAGTGTTATAATTTTTCTTCCATTAGTCATTTTAAAGAACTTAAGGCAACAGAAACTTATTTACATGAGTTATCATCTGTGATGCTTTTAGTTCCTGAAGATCTGGGCTAATCCTTGTCATCATTTTTCAACCCAAAATAAAAATTTGTTTAGCTTTTTTGTTTGTTTTAAATGTGATGGTGACATATTTTCTCAGGTCTCCTTCATCTGAGAATCCAGCCAAATTAGTGAGCTCCAGTTTCAGTAAGTATGGCAGATGCCAGGTGTGGTAGCACATGCCTTTAATCCCAGCACTCAGGAGGCAGAGGCAGACAGATCTCTGTGAGATTAAGGCCAGCCTGGTCTACACAGTGAGTTCCAGGTGGTCTGAGGCTATGGCAGATCCTGTAAATGCACACACACACACACACACACACACACACACACACACACAATGGCAGAGGATTGAGGAAAACACCTGGTGTCACCTTTGGTCTCCACATGTGCAAGAACCACCCCCCCCACACACACACACACACAATTTGAAAGGTTAACCATCACAGCCTGTGTTTTTCTGTGTTCCGCCTTCCTCAGATGCCTTTTCCTGCCAAATTCACACACACACACACACACACACACACACACACACACACAATGGCAGAGGATTGAGGAAAACACCTGGTGTCACCTTTGGTCTCCACATGTGCAAGAACCACCCCCCCCACACACACACACACACAATTTGAAAGGTTAACCATCACAGCCTGTGTTTTTCTGTGTTCCGCCTTCCTCAGATGCCTTTTCCTGCCAAATTCCCCACGGGGCTGCCCTGGTTCCTCAGGTGGGATACTACCACCTCCTCTCCCCGGCATCCTGAGGGGTGGTGATTGTTTCCCAATACCTAACCTCACATCCCAGTTTCCCTTTCATTTCCAATATTTTCATAACCAGTTTTCCCAGATAAGCCTCTGGCATCCCGCTGTGGGTATAGCACAGTGACAGAGCATTTGTGTAGTGTGTGCAAGGACCTGGATTCGGATCCTCAGCACTGGAACGAGAAAGCACTGCTGGCACTCTGTTGACTTAGACTAGGATGTGACACAGCAAAAAACTCCAGCTTACACCTGATCAACATGTTGGTGTCTTCCCACTGCCCTGCTTTGTAAGGAAACATCAGAGGGAACAAGTCACCTGTCACCATCCAGGACAAGGCTCTGACACGAGTTCCACAATATTTTATAGGAAATGTGAAACTATTTAAAAACATTATTTTTAATTTATGTGTGTAAGTGTTTTGCCTGAATGTATAGTACACCTTTGTGTGCAATGCCTGTGGAGGCCAGAAGAGGGCATTGGATTTTTTGAAACTGAAATTAGACGGTTGTTAGTGGCCACGTGGGTGCTGGGAACCAAACCCAGGTCCTCTGCAAGAGCAGCCAGTGTTCTTAACCACTGAGCTCTTTCCAACGCCATAAAATCATTTTTCTTTACACTGCCAACTTTATAGGAGATTATATTCATGGGACTTTTTTTGAGACAGGGCCTCACTATGTAGCTCTGGCTGTCCTGGAACTCACATGTAAACCAGGCTGGCCTCAAACTCACAGAGATCCAACTGCTCCTGCCTCCCAAGTGCTGGAATTAAAGGCATGTGCCACCATGCCCAGCAAACCTCTTCTATAAAGTGAAAACAATGCAGTCTACTAGAATGTTGACTGGAAAAATAGGCCCCTATTCTTCCCTGTGTTCTATTAGCCTGGGGCAGGCAAGGCTTAGGAAACTGAAGTAACTGCCACAAGATCTAGCAGAGCAGGCAATGGAGCATGAACAGCACCAGAAGTTCTGAGGGCCCAGCTGAGGTGACAGTGATGGGGGCTTCAGTAGCAAACCAGGGGTTATGGAATCAGCCAGTTCTGAGAGGAAACACAGGCTTGGAAGCTCCCCCAAAGCCAGAAGACTAGACAGAGGCAGGAGAGGTACGGGGGAAAATTGCGTGGCAATTTTCAGGCATGGGCGCACAGATAAGACACAGAAACACTGAGACCAGCCCAGGTTAGGGAGGACACTTCTTGGTCTTTGCACTGCTAGGACTTAGGAAACAAGAAATGAAAGCACAGCCATTGTCCTGTCACAAAAGGCCTTTAATGGCCTCCTGTTTGTGGTTCTTTTGCGCATTTGTCCTGTTGGAGTTGAATACACTATAATGACTTCACAGAATAAGGAATGCCACAGGTACAACAGGTTAACCTGGATGTGGTCCAGGAATGAGACCGCCCCAGCCACCCTTCCCCACCACACCCAGGATTCATACCAGCTCCCACTCCCTAGGAGGAGGCAGCCCTGAAGCATCTGCTGCTGGACCTTAACAATGAGCTGAGATGTCCAGGAAGACACACATCCTGCATTCGTTCCACCCGAGGCTCCACAGGTCAGCAAGCCAGGCCAGGACCTTACCGCCCCCCTCCCTTATGCTGCTACCTCATATGACCTCTTTTCCTACCTGCAACCCCTATGATGGCTGCAGTGGTCTCTGTGAGGTGGGTGGAGCCTGGCACCAGCCTTTTATACCTAGGGAACCTGAGGTCGGTGGGGGTTTCCTAGGCACACTTGGACAGAACCTAAAATACCAGTTGGCACTCTTTTTTCCATGCCATGTGATTGGCAGAGCCCTGAGCTTCCATTTTCTCACCTAGAAAGCCCTAGGAGGTGGGCCCTGGCAGGACTTTGTGCCAAAGGATGGCCCGAATCTCACCCATGACAGGGCAGGCCAGCAGGCAGTTGGAGGACCAACCTCACTTTGGGCACAAGAGCCTCCTGTTGTGCAGAGAGATGGCCATGGATGTGGAAGTGGAGTCCTAGTAGATTTATTCAAGGAAGACTTGCTGCTTAAAATGTCTCAGGTTTCCTGCCTTCAAGGGAGGGACTTTAGGCATAAAAGCCCACCCTTGTGTATCTTTTGTGTGAACCTGGGTTTCCATCTCTTGGTTGTATGTAAAGAACAACCCATTTCTGGCTTCTTCCCCCTTTGCCCAGCTCCTCCTGTTGAGTCACAGGCTTTAGTTGGGAACAAGTCCTGAGTGGAGATTGGGGCCTTTTTCCTCGTTCCATGGACCCCTATGCTGCACAGGCCAAAATCAGGGTCAAACCCTACCCTACTGAGCACCAGACCCTGCCCACATCAAACTCCAGCCAGAACTTCAGGGTGGGTCAGCTAGAAAGCCAAGTGTATGTGTGCATGTGTATGTACAGATGTTTGGACCTGGTGACCTGAGTTCCAATACAAAACACTTTGTATTGGGATGCTAGAGCCATTCCAACACAGAAAGCAAGAATGGAACCTGTGCTTGCTGGTCTAAGATCAAACCTCAGAATGGTGGTTTGAAGTTTTTCTTCAAAACAGAGTTTAAAAGTGAAACCTCAATAGAGAGATAAAAGCAGGGCTGTTCTGGCAGAAATGGGAATGAGGGGAGGGCGGGAGGCTCAGCCTTTGCCCCTTTCCCCTTCTTCCTGTGGCAGCAGCCCCTGACAGGGCTATGTGGAATACCAGGAGGTCCACAGTACCCGACTGGGAAAACAGTGTCAAGAGTATCTGCAGATTGTGGGTCCCAAGGACCTGTGCTTTGACTTCCCTTTGGGGGTAACAAGTTGGGAATGTTGAGGGAGGGTGTTCCCCCCTTCCACAGGCCTCCCTTTAAAGCTAGTGTCCATGGGGGTGGCAGAGGTGAGGATCTACCCCATGGGTAGGCTGCTTCAGGTCAGGAGGGCAGAAGTGATGGAGCCGCCTGGACCAGACCCAAGGCAGGCTGTGTGAATAAAAATCAGAGGAGTCTCATTTGGTCCTTAAGTTTAAAGAGTAGTATCAGAACAGGCACAGGCCTGTATTCAGGAGACCCTATAGGAGTTCAAGGTTGGAACCTAACCCCTCTCTGATGGATGGGAGCTGCACACCCAGGCCTTAGTCACTGGTGGGAAAGAGTTGCCCCTCTGGGCCACAGAAGCTACTGGAAGTGGATTAGCCAGCACTTAGCTCTCAGGGCAAGAGGCCCAGATGTTCACCAGGGTCTCCAAGGAGCTGTGGTATCTCTGCTGATCCTGGATGGGGCCTTTTGTTGAGAAGACAAATAGTCAACATCTATCCCATCTCACCCTTGGATTTCTTGGGAGGTGCAATGATGGATTTAGTTCCCTGACCTGTGGTCAGAGCCCAGGCTTTTTGATTTCTGTAGGGTTTGAGAGGTGGGTGAATCCAGGCACTGGAGTGTCCAGTATGCCCCTCCCCCAGTCACTGACAACATCCATGTCTTCTGGGTTCTGGTTTTGGGGACCCATCATAGACAACACCTTCATTTCTCCTCACCCCCAGTGTCGGTTGCCAAGGCCATACTGGCTGCTTGTCATTGCACCTGACATTGAACCAGGAGAAGCTGGGCAAGAGACAGAAACTGGTGGGCAGAGGCCTCATTCCACAGCAAACTTACTATGTGAGCTTGGGTCACGCCCCTGCAAAAGCAGGGCCACGCCTGGGTGGCAGGTTGTAATCTACAGAGCACTGGCTCCTGGCTCTCATCTATCTTGGCCTCATAGCAGTGCCTTGAATGATAGGCAAAGGGCTAGTTAGCAGGAACTGAGAGGTAATTGAGGGCTTTGAAGACAGGGTCACTTTTACTGCACCAGGTAGGAATCAGCTTGTCAGCAACTCTCCAACTGAGCCAAACTATAAAGCTGAAACAGCCATGGGGTCCAAGCAAGCACCTGAATCCTTTGGGACTGAATTCTGCCCTTGGCTGGAATACTAAGCAAATCCAGTCACCCTGGGTTGTTGATGAACTTTTACCAAAGCATGTTTTCCTGCCCGGACTGGCATCAAAATGTGCCCTCCTGTTCCACTGGAAAGTGCCAGTGAGGGCTGCTTGGTGACACAGGCCTCAAACACTCAGCACAGAAACAACCAACTGTGGGATGGTGCCTGGAGCTTCATGAGGCTCTTCCACCCCCAGTTTCACTCTCAAGTGTTGCTTGACCATGTTCACTCCAGGATGGAGAGGGGGCCCTACAGAGCAACTGAGTCATGTCAGGAGCTGAAGAGGGGCGTGGTGTAAGAGCAGACCAGAGGCCTTGACAGGTAGGATCTAGGCCTCTTGCTGAGGAAGAAGCCAAAGAAATTCAGCTTGTGTGTCCTACAATATGGCACCATACCACAATAGACTAGGATTCCTGATCAAAAGACACCAAAATCCAGCCTCCCACTGCTGTGTATTCCAGCATATGTTTGAATCCACCTGGAAGAGGTGCGGTGTTTGAATTCACATCAAGGCACTATATGGACCAAGAGCAGCCAAACAGGCTTCATCACTCTCCTCTAACTTTCCCCTCACTAGGGGTTCTAGGGACAGACTCATCTCGGTGTTGCTAGGACCCAGCATAAAGCAGCAAAGCTGTCAGCAAAGAATGCTTTGTCTGGAATCCAATAAACTTGACCATGGCCCTCTAAGAGCAAAAAGAGAGCCAGGGCTCCAGTGCTTCCCTGAAGCTGGAGAAATTTCAGTTAACTTTGGTATAAACCCAAAGGGTGACTGGAACTGCTGAGGAGCAGAAAGTTCCAAAAACCAGCCTGGGAGATCCTTTGCTTACATAAGTTAAGGATGGGAGACAAGGTTTGCAGTGGGGTGTTACCCCAGTGCTAAAGGGTCTTGCATCAGCCCCAAAGGTTTCAGAGGAAGCCACTGGAAGGCATAAGCTTGCCTTGTGCTGTCCAACATTTTCATCAGTTCTACAGCTACAAAGCACCCAGTCAGCTCTGGCAAGGAATGGATGCTAAAGCAGTCTACAGTACGGAAGGATGCCAGGACTGGCCAGGGAGTGTGACTGCCCCAAGCTGACTGCTCTGATCTGGAAAGAAGTACCTCGAGTTGACGGTGACATTTACAAAGTAGCAGGGCCAGGCTGGAACTGAACCATTTCACCGTGGGAAATGGTTGTATTCCCTGGAAGTGCCGAGCTGAAATGGTTGGGATTCAACTTGTTTAATAAAGTGTGAAGCCAGGAGTGGTGGTGCATACCTGTAATCCTAGCACTTGGCAGGTAGAAACAGAAGGATCAGGAATTCAAGGTCATCCTGGGCTACACAGTGAGTTCATGACTAGCCTGGACTACATGAGACTCTGTCTCAAAAACAAACAAAAGTTGTGGTCTCCTGTCTCAGGCAAGTATGGAACCAAGATAGAAGGAGCAGAAATCGAGGTGAGATCCCTTTGCCTTGCCAATCAATATATTCAGGTAAACCCAAGGGTGACAACATATTTCCCATTCAAGCCTCAGCAAATATAAGCTCCAACTCAACCTGTAATATCCAGGCTCAGGACAGAGAAGATCATGGCCACAGATTGACCTCAGACCCAAGAGCCCAAGGGTGGCCATTCCAAGGCAGAAGAATGAACTTGATGCTCTGCCCAGCCCTGCACCTTCTGAGGTTCCACAAATCTCCTCTGAAGGTAGATGGAGCAGATGGAAGCCCTGGTTCCACCTGGCAGGCCAGAAGCTCTGAGGTCCATGAGTTCCCAGAAGCCAAGCTGTTAACCCTTTGGGATCATCTGGTCATACTCTGTGGTTTTTCAGTGAGCAACTGAGGCCCAAAGAGGGAAAGGAATCTGCCCATGGTCACACAAGTTAGCATCAAAGACCAGATGAGGATACCTTTGAACATTTTCTGCTTTAACACTTGTCTGTCCTATTTCCCTGGAAGACACTCCAGTCCAGCCATACTAACACCAGCTAATGGGTACTGAGTACTCATGACCCTGGAAACTAATGGAGTCAACTCCCCAAGGCAAGAAGCCCCCTTCCCTCTGGAGGAGTGCATTCCCATGGAGCCTGCCACCTTCTGAGGAAGGGGCCTCTTAAAAGTGGGAAGGGGGTGGGGGTGCCTCAGGCACTCTCTCCCAGCCTATAAAGTCAACTTGGCTTAGTGCTGGAGGACAGGGGAAAGCTGGGGGATACCAGTGGCTCCAGCTGCCTCTGGCCCTCCACCCTTAATTTCTGCAGGGCTCTCTATCAGGGAAGAGAAGGACGGATGCTCATCCTCCTGCTCCGTCCCCATCTCTTAAAGCCCCCTCAGAAAATCTGAGGAGCTTTGTCTCACTCTGCTAGGGGCTGGTGTTTGTTAAAGATCCTCTTCCCTTCTCTGTCCCCAAATGCAACAAAGCGAAGTACTGTCACATCCTGACGGTACTGACTTGTGCATGGCTGATTCATGCAGACTGCCTCAATCTAGGTATCTGCTGGTAAGAAAGTCAGTCTGTTGTTCTCCTCCACTCCTGGGGTCTATGTGCCTTCACCAATACCACTATGAAATGCAGGGACGAGGACCAAAGATGAGGGTGGCAGGGGAAAAGTCTCTGGTGGGGCTGAACCACAAAAAGGCATTGAGAATCTGTGCATAGCGCTGCCTTTCCAGCCAGAAGACAGCAGCCTTCAGTATGGTCATCTTTTAGCTGCCAGAACTGTATCACCTCCTGGAACTGCAGAGATTTTGTCATGTGTCTTGAGCCTTCATGCCCATCTATCTATGTCCTCCTACCCACCATCACTGTGGCCCTCCTGCTTCCCCTTCCCCTTTCTGCTCCCCACCTCAAGCCAAACCCCAAGAACAGGCCATTTGGCCTTTCTTGGAGTGAGCATAGAAAGGGGGGTGCACAGGTGACCACAGGGAGAGGGGTTAAGGTGTGTGCTGTGGTCCTGTTGGCATGGTGATGCAGGGCCAGTCCTGAGGCCAGAGGTTCATCACCGAGACTTGGAAGACCACTGGGGTCCCCTGGTAGAAACTGGAAGAACAAAAGGAAGGGGAAACCAGAACAGGAAGAAGACAAGAAAGCATCCGAGTGCAAGAGTGGACCTGGAGCTGCCGGGGGAGGGCTGGCCCCAGTCTATCTGTTGTTGAGGTGTGGCGAGCCGGTGCCATCCTCCTCTTCATCCTTGTCATCCTTCATGCCTTTCAGCCTCTGACGGGCAAAGTCCTCAAACACAATGTCGTCATCACTAGTGGGAGAGAGAAGGAAAACGCCATGTGTTTGCAGGGCCTGACCCAATGGGACACTGGGACCCAGGAGGGAACCACACGCTCCAGGGTCTCTGGGATGACCTCAAGCAGAAAGGACTGTCAGGCTGGCCTGTTTCCATGCCCACTGGTGGCTGTGTGGATAGTAACACCTGGACAGAAACCTGATTCTCATGCCTAAGGGCTGGGAAAGTGACTCGGTTCTTGCGGGGATAGGGGCGAGGGGAAGTGTCAGATGGGGTTAACAGTGTGGCTCTGTGGCCAGAGGAAGGAATAGTTCCCACTTTGAGAGGCTGGACCACCAGTGATCTCAAAGAATAGTTGGAATCCCCCCAGAACAGATCCAAGAAACCTACCTTACCCCTCAAAAGAACAAAAAAGTCTGTTCCTGGAAAGCATGCCATTTCTGGACAGGAAATTAATGCTGGGCTTTAGGGAAGAGAAAGTCTACACCAGCCCTTTCTCCCAGAAGCACTAGCTCACATGCCACCCCCAGGGACTCTGGGTAGGGAAGTGACTGTCAAATCTATCCAGGGGCAAAGGAAAGGGGAAGGATGCCTGGTTGGAGTTGTAGGACTAAGGGCTTCTTTCCAACTACCATAAAATATGTTACTTAGGGGAGGGGAAACCAAAGGCCTACAAAGTCCCTTGCCCCATGGAGTTCAGTCAGCTGAATGGGCTTCCTCATGAGTGACTTGAAACACCCTACCCCATTTCCCAGATCTGTCCAGTGGGTGAAGAGAAGGGAGGTTTTAGGAGCAGGAAGGAGAAAACGGCCAGGTCCCAGAGGCGATTTGAGCCATGAAACCAGGTTCCCCCCCCCCCCAGACTGTCTGGTGCTGCCATGGCTTTCCACCACAGGGAGATCCAAATCGGTTGGTCCACAGGAGTGAGAAGTGAACGCACCCAACTCCTTCCCCACCCCACAGCCCGCCTCCAACTGGCATGGGTGGGGTAAGAGAGGCAAGCCCAGGATCTGAACCAGCCCCGTGCTAGCCAGCTGAACAGCCGCTGTGGACAGATGGACTGACGGACGAACGTGCAAGGACGAGGGAGGAAGACAGACCAAGGCAGAAGGAAGAGGAACAGGCACGGAGGGTCCTTCAAGTCACATGCAGGCAAGCAGGTAGCTGAAGAGGTGAGCAGAGGTGGCTCTCAGCAGACAGGTTAGACCAGCTGCTCCTCAGGGGTTAATAAGCATATATGCAAATTACCCCTCCATCTCACACCCCCCACCCCAAGCCCACCCCTAGCCATCCACAGGCAGTCCACAGGCCAGAAGGTTCGGCTTACTTGGTGTCAAGCTCTATGAGATTGGTGTCTACTGGAGTCTCGTTCTCTGGAACTGAACACAGGGTGGGTGAGGTACCCAGGGTTAGTGGGGGTGGGGGATGAGGGGTGGAGAATGGGATAGGGACCCCATCCTAGGACTCTCAGGCTAAGATGAGGAGGGCAAGGAAAGAAGGGAAGTGGGGTACATCTCACGTTTCAGAATACCCCCAAGTCATCTCAAAGGCAGTGGCTACAAGGAGGAGGGTTTCATGCCTACCCCGGGCTCTTGCAGTAGACAGGTCTCTAACATGAGCTCCCTTAATTTCTTGCCTGCCTGTTTCATTAATTCCAAGAAGACCACATTTTACTGTTTTTGTTTTGCTCTGTTTTGTTTTTTAAAGATTAATTTATTTTATATGTATGTTTGTCTGAATGTATGTATACTATGTGCACGCCTGGTAAAGTGGATGCCGGAAGAGGCTGTCCCTGGAATGGGAGTTACAGGGAGCTGTGAGTCACCATGTGGGTACTGGGAACTGAACTGTGGTCCAATGTAAGAGCGGCTAGTGCTCTTAACCACTGGGTTATCTCTCCAGCCCCTTGCTTTATTTTTGTTTTATTTTTTTATGTGTATGAGTGTCTGCCTGCACGTATGTAAGTGTACTATGTCATGCAATGCCTGGGAGGTCAGAAGAGGGCATCAGATCCCCTGGAACTGGAGTTATAAATGGTTGTTAGCTGCCATGTCGGTGCTGGGAACCAAAAACTTGGGTCCTCTGCAAGAGCAGACAGTGCTCTTTCCTGCTGAACCATCTCTCCAACCATTTGTTTTGTTTTGTTGAGACAGAATTTCATTATGTATTCCTGGTTGGCTGACACCCTCATGATCCTCTGCTTCACACCCGACCCTCACACTGGGATTACAGGCATGTGCCACCATGCCTGTCTATATTTCAAGATTTAACCTCTCCTAATCTGGAGTGTTTTACAGTCTGCAGCATGTTAGTTTAACTGTAGGAGCAGTCTTCATTTGTGATACACACTATGAATGCCCCTTTCAACTAAAACAGACTTTGATTCAATCGAATATGGTCAATATGTTATCACTTTTAAAATTCACCAATATTTTCTATCTTCCACTCTTAGCCTCCCTCTCCTGTGGAGAATAAGATCTAGGACTTTCTGTCTCCTAGTTGGGTTAGAAGCAAATACAAATTGAGTTGTGGACCCCACAAAAGATTATGGGAAGCTGGGGAAAGGGTGACAGTGAAGGAAAAGCTAATCTAGAGGGAGGTGGGGTGGGGCAACAGGGAAACTAATAAACCCCACCCTAATGGTCCATGGGTCCTGCTCACCTTCCCGATGTGGTGGCTCCTCTTTAGGCTTGGGGTGCATTAAGGTAAAGGGAAGTTCCACAGCCACGTCACTGAAACACATACCCAAACCCAGTGATCTGAATGGAGCCTCAACCCGTGAGCCCCACTGCCCTGTCAGTCTGGGGAGGTTCATGGTGAGAGAAGCAGGTCCACCCTAGTTGTATCCCTCTGACCATCAGCAGGAGATCTCTTCTCCTGCCTTTACAGAGAAATAGAAGATCCCTCCCCCTCAAAAGAAAAAAGAAACAAAGCCCCCTCCCTCTTCCAGAGGATTGTTGGATTCCCATAGGCTGGGGAAAGGCCCATGGGAATGCACACTGTGGTCAATGGGTGACCAAGGTGCCTTGGGACCCTGGTCACCTCAAATCACCATGGCCCCCTGACACTGCCATTTCCCTCCCATTCCCACCCTATCCCATTTCCCAACACCCCAGGAAGCTCCTAGAAAGGTGTTCATGTGTTCCCAGCACCCTGCATTTACATGAGGGCTGAGGGTAGAGACCTTGGGTTGGAGGGACCAGGGCCCAGGGCTGTCCATAGTGTGTACAGTCTGACACCTTGTTTATGGGGGAGAGCTGGCCACCAGCCAGTGTTGATAACCAAGCCTTCCCTGACCTTGTCCCTGGCAGATAGGCTGAGAACAAGAGCAGGCACTTGTATGGTACAGACTTTACCAAGGATTTTTCCAAGCCCCTCTTTAGAGAGACCCCTGTAATCCTCACAACAACCCTATTATTTTATTATCCCCAAGGCATGGATCAGGAAGCTGAGGCACAAGGAGATTAAGTCTCTTGCCTCAGGCTACCCGGTTACTAACTGGCGAGTGAAGAACCTTCTGACTCCATCACTCACCCACTCCCTTAGCCACTGAGTGATTTATACAGAATTGAGACTCACAAAAAGCAATCCAAAGACTCCTCTCTGCTAAGGGTGGCATCACCCAAGGAGACCCCACCCTCCCCACAAAAAATATGAGTGCCTCCAGACACAGGTGTATCTCACTGATCCTGTTGCCCAGGCCCAGCTGGGAATGGGGAAGTGACTGGTATAATGATGGCCAGGCTGTGAGCTGTAAGGGCAAGGGAGCTGCTGGCTCCTCTCTGGGACTTCCACCCCCAGCACAAGCTTGGCCACAAGTTTGGGTTCAGAACATCTTTGCTAGACGACACTCGGATTTCTCAGGATAAGCGACACTGTTATCTTGTGATAGGGGAGGTCAAACTGCCACGTTTCTGGCGTACATATACATAAGTCATCCAGCAGGCTGCAAGGGCAACTGACTACAATTGTTGTGGATTCTCATCACAGTATAGACGTTTGAAAGCCATAAAGACTGCATTTCTCTGGAGCATTCCAAAATTCAAGTCAATCAGTTGACCCTCCTAGAGACCACTGCTAGACCACTCTGTCTGTGAAGGTCCTGTCACTTGAGGGGAAAAGAAAGCAGGACAGGAGTTTTACTGAGAAGCCATGTCTCCCTCTTCTGGTTGGACATGGTTCTGGTTCCGGCATACCCCTGAGCCTGTGATCTGAAACAACCACTAGATTCTTCCTTCCCAGTCAGCACCCATGGTCCTGGTCAGGTGGGCCTCTGGGCCCTGGGCCCTCCAGGAAGGTGGCTCAAGCAGGACAAAGGAGGGGCTTTACCTGGATGCAAGATCTCCCAACAGGCTGAGTGGGCCAGAGGAGGCGGAAGAAGCGGTCAGGAAAGAGTGCAGAGCCGGAGAAAAGAGAAAGGACATTCATTCACACCCTGCAGCCCCATCCACAGCAGACCCAAGGACAAGTTCCCCACCCCTCTGTGGCTGGCTGCTCATCCAGGGTGCTGAAAGGCAGGCAAGCTTGCAGGCTTTTTGGGCCCCAGGATCCTCATCTATAAAATGTAACAAACCTCCCCCCACCCCCGGCCAGCTGTCTAATGGCAGAAAGAAGACTTTGGGAGTTTACCAGGAATGTGAGAAGACCATGGGTCCTGCAAGGTCACAGGACACAGAATTCATCACTGGGTTTAGAAATATCCTATAATATACAGTCAGTATCACACACTGCCACCTGCAGAGCCACTATTCTTTGTTCGGTTGAGACAGAGTTTCACACGGGCCAGTCTGACCTCAAACTCACTATGTTGCCAAGGCTGGTCTTGAACTCTTGATCTTTCTGCCTGTACCTCCCAAGCACTAGGATTTCAGGGGTGTGCATTAATCTTGGCTCAGAGCCATTACTCTAATAAATGGACTCAGTGTTTAAAGAGATTTAGTTTTTCAGTCTTTCCACAGAAATGAATAAACTAAATCAGGAAAAAAGTCCCTCTAAAAAATTAGTGTGCTGGTTAGTTTTTGTCAACTTGACACAAACTAGAGTCTCCTGGGAAGAAGGAACCTCAACTGAGGCATTTCCTCCATCAGACTGGCCTGTGGGCATGTCGGTGGGGCATTTTCTTAATTTGTAATTGATGTGGGAGGACGCAGCCCACTGTGGGTGGTACCATGCCCGAGCAGGTGGGCCTGGGCTGTATAAGAAGAATGACTGTGCCCAGGGGAAGCAAGCCAGCAAGTCTTGTTCCTCCAGATCTCTGCTTCAGTTCCTGGCCTGACTTCCCTTGGTGATGGATCGTGACCTAGAAGTATAAAATGAAATAAACCCTTTCCTCCCCAACTTGGTTTTGGTCGGTGTTTTAGCATAGCAATAGAAAGTAACTAGGACAGTTAGAAATCTTAATTCTGTGTCTAACACATAGACCTAATATATGAGGAAATGGAAGTATTTTTCTGAGCCTCTACCAAACTATGCTCTAAGACAAAAAATGAGTCTGGTCCTCTGCTGGGACCTCTGCACCTAGCCCACGACCTGAAGCTGAGAGAGGCAAGCTCAGGAAGTAATCAGAGAACTGTTTAGGCCTCTGTTTGACCATCTATAAAATGGCCAAGTTAGCAAATCCCCAACCCAGCTCTGGGGTTCTGAGTTCCCAAGAGTGGAGGTGGGCACTGTGCCCCAAGGTGTGAGGAAGGGCACGGCAGCCCCTGGGATTCATAGAGCACACGCTAAGAATCCCCCATCCCCACACCCACAGGCTGTGCCCAATCCTCAGAGCCAGGCTCAGACCTCAGATAAAGAGGAGGAGAAAGGAAGAGGCATAGGAGGGGAGAAGGAGCTGAGATCAGTAGAGAAAAGAAACCAGAAGGAACAGGAAGTTCTCAAGCCCCATTTCTCCTCCACAGGAAGATGCAAGTGCGAGGCCAGGCAGGATGGATGGGCTAGGGTGTGCTGGGCTGGCCAGAGACTCACCCGCCCCGAGACACCACCAGCTTCACTTTCACTTTGTAGGAAACAATGATGCCCAGGATCTCACGATTGGCTCCTTCCCTCAACCTGTGTGGAGACACAGGGAAGCTGGTCTGTGGGGCCCACTGGTGGGTGGGATGTGGCAGGCAATGGGGTGCCATAGAGGACATCACTGACCTCTCCTGAGCCACCAGGTGCAACAAAGGAATGGAGAACATGCCCTCAATAAGCTGGAACTTAAAGTGCTGGGTTTCACAGGTATTAATCAGTTTGTGGTACTAAGGAGCAAACCCAGGACTTCAAACATGATAGGCAAGCACTCTACCACTAAGCCTAATCCCTTGGCTTCCACATCTGATTGAAAGATGCCCTTGCTCTGTGACTCTGGTCTGCCCTCTTCCCTGTCTAGCCATACCCCACAGCACAGTGAGGGTAGGCTGAAGCACCCTTCCATGATTCATTTCTCCGACCCAGTTTTTGTTCAGCAGCTCACAGACAGAAAGGGCTTGACTGAGAACTCACAGAAGTTGGGGGTGAGGGTGGCTAGGGGAAAGTGTCCCTGGGGAAGTAATACCTTATCTGGGTCTTGAGGGCAAGTAGGTTGTTTGCCATGGTAGAGAAGAGGAAAAAGGGGTTGATAGTAAGTGGGTAGCCCATAGGGGTGGTAATGAGATGGTCTGACAACCTGGGTTAACAGACTGAGCTGGGAATGGTGGGCTGGGGTGCTGAAGATGGAGGTTAAAGCCTTCTCAGAGGGCCAGATCTCATCAGGGAGGGTAAGAACTCCCACACTCCCAGGGCTCTGCTGGAGTGGGGCAACTCTGAGGGCTCAGTGATGCTCGTGGGGCAAGAGTAACTAGATGGCCTTATGGTACCTGATGTGGGACCCCCACATCTGTCTACCCAGCTCACTTTCTGCTCTCTCCAGCCTCCCCAAGCCCTCATTGATATCCTCCTAGGATCCTGACAGGGACCATTCTTTCCATTTGACCCTCCCAGTGCCAAATGGGACCTAGTGGTCTCTGTTTTCTGGGTATGTGGGACTACGGAACTAGCCTCCCTGACTGGCCAGACTCTTGAGGACAGATCCTAGGGCAAGGCTGTGGGAAGAGGGAAGCTTGTCTTTTCACTGGTGGGACCAAGAGGGTAGGACCCCCATTGTAGGGTGGGTGCCAGGAGTCTGGGTCTTAGACAGTGGGTCCTCACAGGGTGCTGGAGGCCAGGTTCGTGTCTTCATGCTTGAGCTTCCCGTCCAGAGCAAGGCCTCGCTTCTCTCTGTTGTTGGCCAGGAAAGGAGTCAATGTGTAGACTTTGCAGAATGTTGAGCTGGGTGCAACTGTGTCACTAGGGGAAAAGGGAGGCAGGATGAAGATGGCCCTCCTCATGGCCAGCCTCAACTCAGCCCAGATATCTGGCCTAGCCCCACTCCACCCATTCAGGGATCACTTGGGCCAGGCCTAGCTGTAACAGAAAGCTCACTGTCACAAGAAATACCACACACAAGAAGGGCTTCCCAGGGCTAGCAAAGGGCATGGTGCTAAACCGTGAGTTTATCTGTAAAAGTTACACTAGATACAAACCATTGAGTGAAGCTACTCAGTGCTCAGAAGCCACTCCCTCACTATGTTCTACAATGAAAACTTTACTTGTGAGCCAGCAAGATAGCTCAGGGGGCAAAGGTACCTGAGCCAAGACGGATGACCTGAGTTTGATCTCCAGGCCCAAATATAGTGGAAGGAGAGAACCAACCCTCACAGGTTGTGCTATATCACCTACACATGTACATGCGCACACACACGCATGCACGCACGCACGCACACTATGGTACACATGCTCCCACATATACATACACCAAAAGAAGAAAGAAATCAATGTGTAAAAACCCTTTACTTGCTGTATTGCATATCTACCCATCGTGTACAAGTATTTATTAAGATTTATTTATTTTTATTTATGTATATATGTGTATGACATGGGGATGGTGTCTGTGGAAGCCAGAAGAGGATGTTGGATCCCTGGACTTGGAGTTACAGGCAATTGTAAACTGCCTGACATGGTAATGGGAATTGAACTCAGGTCCTCTGGAAGAGCAGCAAATGCTCAAGCGCTCTTAACTACTGTACCATCTCCCAAACCCCATTTCAACTGTTCAGTTTTTGCTTGATGTTGCTCCCTTTCCCCTTCCCTTTTTCAGTAAGATGAGACAGGTACATGCAACAAACTGGGCTAGCCTGGAGTGAGCCCCAGATTTGCTTCTTGGGGTTACTGGGAATTGAACCCAGGGCCTTGTGCATGCTGAACAAGTGCTGTGCCACTGAGTTAAATTCCCAGCACAAGGTGAATGGCTTCCAAAAGGCTCTTCCACACGGGCCAGGGAGATAGCTCAGCACGTAAAGGTGCTTGCTGCCAAACCTGATAAGTTGAGTTCCAACCCCAGAACTCACATGTTGGAAGAAGAGAAGTGCCTTCTGCAAGTTGTCCTCTGACCTCCACATGTACACCATGGCACCCTCCAACCACACACACACACACACACACACACACACACACACACACACACTAAATAAATAAATGTACACAAAAAAAATTTGGGGGGGTCTTTTTGAGACAGGGTCTCCCTGTAGTCCCACCTGGCCTGGAACTTGCTATGTAGACCAGGCTGTCCTCAAACTCACAGAGATCTTCCTACCTCTGCCTCCCAAGTGCTGAGACTAAAGGCGTGCACCACCACACCCAGCTAACAAAAAAATCTGAAAGGCTCTTCTATATTATCTACAGTGAATGGCGAGGAAGGGGGAGGCCCAGCCCCCTGCAGGCAGAGAAGAGCTGCCTGGGCCTGGGACCCAGAGCTTCCCTTTTTCCCATCCAGTCCCATACACCCAAGGTCCAGCTCATACACACTTACTCAGCCTCTTCCATGGCCACAGGGCACTTGTACTGAGCTGTGTTGAAGAGGCAGATGTCGGCATACTGGCGCACTAGAGATTGGCAAGGAAGCAAGCACATGAGCCAGGAAGCAGCTCCCAGGATGCACCTCAAGCTTCCTTGAGGTGGGGATGCTCAGTTTGACCCAATGGTGAGAGTCCACTAGGGGGTACTTTTGTAGACACCACCCCAGCCTCTACCCAAAGAGGAGCCCTGCCAAAACCCATTCCCTTCCACAGCCAAGTGTTCCCTTCCAGGAAGATTGGCCAGAGCCCAGGAAACCCAGGAAAAGAAGTGACCTTAAGCAGTAAACCTGTTGCCTTCGGCACCAGCTTCAAAGCCATCCTTGGCTCAGAACAGGCCCCGATATCATCAGCTATTGATGGATGGCGCCAGGCTTTTAACAAGGGGCATGCTACCCCAACCCTTGGGAGGATTCCTCAGTTACCCGAGATCTTGATCTTCTTCACAGTCTTGTTGGTGTTATTGGTGACATGAACATTAACGCTGATGGGTTCTCCGTGGTAATAGATCTGGGAGACAGAAGACAGGAGAGAATGGGTAGGGACCATGCCTACTTTCTAGGTGGAGGAGAAGCCAAGAAGGCTGCCAAACCCTGGTTATTCTAACCTTTGCCCCAAGGTCATCAGACACTTCCCACTGGTGTAAAGGAGGCACTGAAGGCACCAAGCATATTAGCCTTTGCTTCCTTCATGAGATCCTTCAAAGGTATCTGTATTATAAGGTGATATTCCAGGCTTAAAGGATGGCTCAGTTGGTAAAGCACTTGCGCTGCAAGCCTGAGAACCTGAGTTCAATCTCCAGGACCTATTATAAGAAAATGTTGGGTATGGTGGCACTCTCTTATAATCTCAGCACTGAGGAGGCAGAGATGGGGGGATCCCTGGTGTTCACTGGCCAGCCAGTCTAGCTGAATTGGTGAGCTCCAGATTAATGGGAGACTGTGTCTCAAAGGAGGTAGATGGTGTTCCTGAGGATGACACCTGAGGTTGTCATCCAGCCTCCATACACATGTACACCCACACATGTACCTATACACAAATGTGCTCCCATGCACACACCCATTTAAAAAAAAAAAAAAACTAAACTAGGCTGGGCATGGTGGTGCATACCTTTAATCCCAGCACTCGGGAGGCAGAGGCAGGCAGATCTCTGTGAAATTGAGTCCAGGCTGGTCTACATATCAAGTTCCAAGCCAACTGTGACTACAGGGAGACCCTGTCTCAAAACAAACAAAAAACAAACAAACAAACAAAAAAAAAACAAAGAACTAAAATTCCTGGCTCCAGTCCAGTCCTGTCCTGGCCATTAGTAATGACAACAATAATAAGAGATGATGGTTGTGTGACTTTGGACAGATTATCTATGCCTTAGTTTCCTCTCTTATCCAATGAGATGGGTTAGATGGAGCCATTTCTCAAGTCCCTGTGGGCTCTGATGGTCTGGATTTGCTTCCAGAAGAGGTAAGAGAAGAAAACTAACTGGCTCACTGATAGAACAGGCTCTGAATTCACAGGGAAGGGCCTCCACCACATCCTCCAGCCCTTGCCTTCAGCTGCCCTAGGAGGGAGATGCACCCACACCCCAGGAAGGACACACCTGGGTTCACAGCAAGTCCCAGTCAGTTGGTTTGGAATTCCCAAGGGTTTGTAGCCTTCTAGCTCAGACAAGGAATCCCTGGGTTCATTCTCCACCACCCCCCACCCCCACCCATGTGTATGTGATCTCCCACCCCACACCCTGTTGATCTGGCTGATCTCCACCCAGCCTGAAGCAATTTGCAGAATATAGGTAGAAATGACCAGTACCCTGCCAGAGGGTACACTGCTCCCATCAGGTAGGCTCACAGGCCCACGTCTACCAATCCTTCAAACCCCAACGGGCTTCCACAAACACCCAAGGACAGTCAGGAGACATTGAGGTCTGAAGCCCCTGCCTGGCAGAGCAGCCCCACCCTCTGCTGAGCCTGAGCCTCTTACCTCCTTATCCAGAGATGCCTCTAAGTGCAGGGGCTTGTCCGACATGAGGAACTGTCTGGTGGTCTCAGCTGTGGGCTGGGGGCCAGGCCTCTCTGGGGCATATTGAACCTTCCGGATGACAAGCCGCACAGAATTCCTAAGAGATGGGTGGGGAAAAAGACAGCCAAAGTCACAGGCTTCCACCCCTTTCTCTGCGATCCCTACATCCCTTTCCAAGAAGCTTACTGTAGCTCCCCATTGTCCTTAATCCAGTCAACCATAGTTATCCTAGAGGGTCTGTCACCATCTGATCTCACTCCAGCCTCCTCCATCCTGTCCCTGGGGTACCCCACAGCAGCACTCATTTGGGTCTGTATCCTGGTACCCAGCATGATGGCAAAAAAGGAACCCTTTTCACTTCTTGCCTCCCTATGTCACCAGATAACTTAAGCTGCTTAAAGGTGAAAACCTTTGGTCTAAATTGTTCACTACAGTCTCAGCACCTGTGACAATCTCTGCCATCTCAGCAACCATCTGCTAAAGGCCTGCTAAGTGAAAAACAGGCAGAAGGGACAGGTTCCCTGGGAGGTGCCAGCGTTCCATGACAGGGTATGGATTCAGGACAGTGAAGGTGGTACAGCTCAGTGAGGGATGGAGGTCCACAGATGAGAGAAAGGCTTAGTAGAGGCCACAAGGCTCAGGGTAGAAACAAGGACAGATAGAGCAGTAAGGGGACAGTGACTTAGTGAGGCCACCCTGGTGGCACACAGGGAGGGACAGCATCCCCATTTCTCCAAATGAGCCACCTCCATTCTCTGGAACTGGAGAGTCAAGGGTGTACTCCTAGCTCTCCTCCTCCTACCACATGACCTTGAGCAAATTAATCTTCCTGTGCCTCAGTTTCTTCATCTGCAAAAATAGTGACAACAGGGAGATCTATTTTCAACTAGATATATTGCCCACTCCTAGCAGTGGAACACACATCTGGTACTGTAAACCAGGCCAACCCCTTGTGGCGGGGGAGGATAAAGGCCCCAGTGGGGAAGCCACTGCAATTGTTTTGTTAGCTGGATGTGATGCACCTGCTAAGGTACCATCCAAGCATTTGTGTTTATGACCATAGGTTAAGTTATTATAGCAGCCACTGTTTAGATGTTCTTGCTTCTTGCTGTTTGTGTTTTATAGACGGTGGAATCCCACTGAAATGGGCCAACAGCCCATGGAAAAAAGATGACGCAGAGACCCAAAAGTTCAGTGCCTTGCCACAAAAGGGGGGAAGATCATCCCACACCTATCACCCCCTCCAAGGCTCAGGGACTTTGGGGGAAGAGGTTGGCATAAAGAATATAAGAGCCAGAGGAAGGGGTGGAGTGTTAACTAGAAGTTCCTCTGACCACTAGAGCCAACACCTCCTTCCCATACTTGTCAAGGAGTTGATGCAGGAAATAAAAAAAAGAATAAGAGACTGCAGAGTGTGTCTCTCTGGATAAGACTCCCATATTGAACCTCACCCACTCATGGCTCAGGGACCATTGCGCAAGAGGGGGCAGAAAGATTGTAAGAGCCAGGGCTGGTTCATGAACACAGGGAAGCAGAGACTTTCAGGCCACTGGAAGCTTGCACATGTGACCTTGTAGCAATGGTGGCATCGAGCACAGGAACCATGCTACTCAATTAAACAAGGGCCCAGAGAGGAGGAAAGAAATGGGTGGGGGGCCAGCACTAGACTGAGAACTATTGGAGTGATTGCTACTGGGTGAGGGAGAGTATGATTTACATATGATCTCCAGATGGGCTGACTAGACTCCAGTGAACAGATTTACACTGAAGGACATCTAGGTACAAATGCTTGACTGGATTGGACTTAACATGTACGGCAGAATACACGAAGTCTGGTGGGGGGAAAGGGGGGACATGGATGGGGGAGGGGGTCTAAATTTGCTTAAAAATAATAGTGACAACAGCACTTACCCCTGTGAGGACTAAATCTGTCCATACCTGTCCATCTTTATTAACATGATTAGCACCCACTAAGCCCTTAAGAACTGACAACTATTATTACCAATAAATCTTAGGTGTAGACTTAAGATGTCCCATGGGGGGGGGCAGCTGTCAATGTTGCTTCTCTTCATTGTTCTGTTCAAGATCCCTCTCCCACCCCACAGTGCCATGAGGTCTACCCCCTACCCTGATCTCAGGTCTTAAGGGGAAGGTGGGGATAAAGACGCAGGAGAGAAGAGTCTTGTACACAAGAGCTGCCAGGGTGGCAAATAGAAATGCTTGCAGTCTACCTAGTCACCACCAGGAGGCAAACATGGTCCACTCCCTCAAGAGGTGCCTGGTACTACCCTCTGCTGTCTCCTATGACAACTGGACTCAGGAAGCTGGAGCAGCAGAGCTGGAGGCAAGGCCAAGAGACAGTTGGGAGGTCCTGAACCCCAGGAAGAACAGCCACAAGTCAGGGCCAGCTGCTTCTGGTGGCCAGCCTGGGCTCTGTCTGAAGAGCATACAGGACACTGTCCTCTCTCTGAGCCACAGCTGCCTCCCCCTGCCAGGTTCACTTTCTCCATTTCCCTCCATTGCTCAGAAACCCCCATGACACTCAGGCTCCACTCTGGCTGATGGACTCTCAGTAGACAAACGGGGAAATGTGGATGGCCTGGAGACATCCTGCACACTGTTGAATGCTAACTGAACTTAGGGTCTTTCTAATACCAAAAGGCTGCCGTCTGGAGGGATGAGACCAAGGCAGGGATGTGAGGGGTAAAGCTGCACAGTGGTACAGAGAAGCTGAAGCCTGAGCAGGCCCTGAGGCCACCTCCCCCAAGAAGCCCACCATGACCTGACATAGCCTTCCAGAGCCTTCTCAGAGAGCAGCCACTTCCCATAGCTCCTTCTTGGACTTGTTCTTCCTCCCCACCCACCCCACCCACCCCTTCCCAGCAGCATCCTGCAAACCTTTTGTGGATCTTCTCTTCCAGGTTCTCGGCACAGAAGGCTTTGACCTCGTAGTCCACACCACAGGCCTGTAGAGGAGGCCATACTGACCCCAGCGCCTTGGGAGAGGCAGAGTTCCCAGCACATGCCCAGTGTACCCTCCCATCCTACAAACTAGGACACAGGACAGGAATGAGAGCTTCCAGTGCCTGGGGCTTGAATGTGGGTTTGAAACCCTGGCACCCAATGTCAACCTTTTCCTGCTGTTGCCTCTCCCACTGAGTTTCCCCAGAGCTGCTTCTGAAGGCCCACCAGCCAACCCAAGCAGCCTTGGGACTCCTGGCCTAGTCAGGGTGATCAGCCTCTAGACAGCTACTGGCAGCAGTACTGAGGGCACCGACTATGAAGACCTATGCTGGTGGTGTGACATTCCCGACCCCCCACCCCCGACCCCCAACAGCATGAGGGACCGTATCTACCGTCTCTGCTTTACAGATGAAGAAGCAGGCTTCAAAGACCTCTCTGAGACTTAGTTTCCCCAGCTGTAAAACAGCAGTGATTCCATCTCCATACACGGTCACTAGGGGCTATGTGAAGCCAAGTGTAGGTACTTAGAATTTGCTAGCTCCGTCAGTCAATACCACAGCTGACAAGAGTGGCTCAGGGGAGCCTGTGACATGTCACTGAATGTGGACATCTGCAGTCTTGGATGAGGGGACTGGTTGTCTAAAGAGCATCAGTCAGGCATACGCCCAGGCAACTTCAATAGAAAGGGAAGTTTTAGGTGTCTAGTATCTCACAAGGAAAAAGCCAGGAATCAGGGAACATGAGAACCTGGACCCAGAGAGATGATCTTGGGGTGACATACCTTCCCTGTGTCTTCAGGTCCTGGCTGCAACGTCACAGAGCATGGGAGGTTTGGAGGGATCTGTTCGGGAGACAAACAGAACATGCTACATGGTACATTTGTCATAGCCTCTCCCTATGCCTCACACCCTGGCCATGGCTATATACCCATCAGACCAGGTCCCCAGGCCACATCTCCCCATCAGACTAAGAGCCCCCGGAATATATTGGTTTTCTCCCAGTCAAGTTCCACACAGGGCTAGACACAGCTCAAGGAAGACAAGATTTGAGTATTCTTTACCTAAGGGCTTTGGCCAGCCCATCCTCACAGGGTTGAATGGTTGAAAAGATCCTGCCATTATGTCTACTGGGGTAGGTGAGATGGCAGTTCTCCAAAGATGTCCATGTACTAATTAGTCCATGTACTAATTCGCAAACCTGTGATTCTGTTACCTTATGTGATATAAAGGGACCCCAAAAAGACCAAAAAATAATAATATAATAATAATAATAATAATAATAATAATAATAATCATCATCATCATCATCATCATCATCTTGGGATGGGGAAAGTAAGTCTGGATTATCCAGCTGGGCCTTATATAATCACATAATCATGAGGGCCATCGAAAAAGGAGTCAAGAGGCCGAGGAGTCCCTGCCTGAGTAACGAATGTGAGAAAGACTCAACCCACCACTGCAGGTTTGGAGGATGGGGGAGGGGCCAGAGCCAATGAATGTGACCCTGGAAAAGGCAAGGGAAAGGATTCTGTACTAGGGCTTCTGGAAGGAAAACCATCCTGTGGCATCCTGATTTTAGCCTGTAACATCCATTTTGGATTGCTGACCTTCACTCAGAACTGTAAGGCAATTGATTACTGCCATTTTAATTGGTGTATTTAATTACTACCGATTGTTTTTTAAGATTGATAAGCCCATCGTGGTGGCATACACCTTTAATCCCAGCACTTGAAAGGCAGAAGCAGGTGGATCTCTCTGTGGTGGAGGCCAGCCTGGTTTACAGCCAGGCCAGCTGTGGCTACAGGGAGGTCCTGTCTCAAAAATACCTAAATAAATAAATAAGTGAAAAATTTAAAAATAAATAAGACTGATTATTTTGTGTCCATGTCTGTGTGTGTATATGTGCACATACATTGGGTGACCACGGAAGCTGAAAAGGTTGTCATATCCCTTAGAACTGAAGTTACAGACATTTGTGAGCTGCCCAATATGGGTACTGGAATCTAAACTCAACCTGATAGAACAGCACTAATAACTGCTGAACCATCTTTCCATTCCCATTACCAATATTTCTAGTCACTCATGGCATCAGCCAGAGGATGTAAACTACTGACATGGCAAGAGGACTAGGTACCCAGCTTCAGTCTATAATTCCTGCATCTTCTAGCTCTCACAGAAAGGGGGGTATTGTACTAATTCTAAGAATCATGGAGTCTCAGAAATGTGAAGATGTGAAATCCTGAACTGTGAGTCCTAGAACTGGAAGGAGGTATGGTGGGGAAGGTGGAAGTACATGTAGCTGGGCATGTGGCAACCTGTCTGAGGTGAGACACATAGTGTCTCCCATAGTGACCCAGTGCCAGATAAGGCGCCTTCCTTCTCTGCACTCATCCCTGGGCCCTCCATTCTCCAGGGACCTGGATGCAGGAGTGCTGGAAGCATAGCCCAGAGGTAGAAGAGACACGCCCACAGTGGCCAGAGTAGACACCAGGTAGTGCAAGTGACAGTGCCCAGGCCCCAACATCCACTGCGGAACTGGGTGACTCAGGGCAGCTACCCCTCCTTGCTACCCCATGTGCCCACCCTCAACGTGTCCCAAAGACAATGCTTCCAGAATGGGGGCAGAGAGGAGGCTGACCTCAAAGGTGAAGGGGTAGGCATGCTCGCCCAGCTTCTTGATGAGCCGCTCCTGTAGCCGTGTCAGTGGTTTCTTGTCCTCTGGGGTTGGTGGGAAGGACTGCACATTGGCCACGAACAGGTCCTTGCGAAAGGTTAGGCCCAAGACATCCAGGTCTTCCCGGCCATAGCGGAAGGCGCAGGTCAACGTCACATAGACTGTGAGGAGCAGGGGCACTGAGGAGGGGCCTGGGAGGGCAGCACACAACCCCCCAGAGTTCCAGCTGCAGCCCTGGTTTGCCCTACCAGAGGCCACAGGCCTGTCTCAGGCTCTTGTTGGGTGGGCACACTGCCTGTCTGATACAGGGTGCCCTGAAGTTCGGCCATGGTATGGACTCTGACAGGGACCTCAGCAGTTCTGTCCTCCCTAGCTTACTCCAGCCCAGGAGTGTGGAGGGGCAGGAGGGATGGCTGGAAATCCTGGTGGCAGAAGCAGCTGGATTAGGCTGGTGGGTTGGAGAGACAAGCAGGGAGACCGCAGAGAACAGAAGCACATGCAAGGAAAGGCATAGAATCTTGTCCCAACCCAACCCTGGCCTTGTGCAGACCTTTTATTCTTCTCTTCTATAAAACAAGACCTCCTCACTTGCCCTGTGACCCCTCAAGCCTTGCTATCATATCGATAGACAGTGCTCAGGACACTGGCAAGTTCTCCCAGAGTGGGCTGCCTTTCACTGGAGGAAGCCAGAGTTCCTACTGTAGTATGCACTGGAATATTCAAGGAATCAGTGGGATGAACAGGGAAAGGCAATGGGACTAGCTGAGGTCCTGCCTGGGAGTCAAGGAGGCCATGTGTAGAGGTCAGTGGGGGGGGGGGGAGAGGGGGCCCCTGGCATGCGGTGGAGAGGGAGA